CCCCTTCTCTGGAGATTTTCAAGACCCACCTGGATGCAGTCCTGAGTGATGTGCTCTGGGCAATCCTGCTTTGGCAGGGGAGTTGGACCAGATGATCTCTAGAGGTCCCTTCCAACTCTGACAATTCCGCGATTTGCTCCTTATTTTCCTGAACTCATCTTTTCACCAACCCTGCACCTCCCTTTCTCTGCCTAGACTCCTCTCAGACAAATGGGACCTATTTAATGACCTGCCCCTAATTATTTTCTCGTCATTGGTCCCAATTCTGCTACACCCCCACCCAAATTTGGTGTTTCTGACACTTATCTAGGCACTTTTGATTGCGTATGGTATTACTCATACTGTTACCTAGGTAGTCCCAAGACTCCCTTCAGCCCCTTTCATTCAAACTGGTTACATTTCATCTATAACCACACACTTTTTTGGACGGAATTATCTGACTTTAGCCTTGACTTCCCTCCCAACTCGGATGAAACCAAGCAGTTTCTTGTTTTATGCAGAGGCAGCTTGCGTTCGAGAGCAACAGAATAACCCATTTTGTGCTCACACAGTCTCTTTGCCCTTGAACAGTTTCAGTCCCCTCCTGGTTCCCATGGCAGGCGTTAGCTGGTGGTGAAGCCCAGTGGCAGTGGGGAAAATGGACAATGGCAGGGAGAAAGAGCCCAGGCCAGATCATGTCTTCCTGCAGCGATCTCTCCCTTCCTCTGCACAGCAGAGAGAAGCTGAAGCAGAAGGAGCAGGAGGGTGAGCAAGCAGCCAGCCAGCCCAGCACACTGCTGTCACCAGCCAGGCCTGCAGGCTCAACACTATCTCCTGCCACCCGCACCAGCCTCTTCTGCTTGAACATGTTACCAACACAGCAGACAGGAAAGGCAAAGGGACCTGGAATCAGCACTCCTTCCCCCAGCATTTAAATGAGGCTGGTTGTATAATCTCTTCATACAATCACTTCATCTGAATGAAAGGGAGCAAAAATTGCTTTTGATCGCTCGCTTCTACTTGAGAAATAATATACAGCACAGTGAGCAGAAACTTTTAAGGTCCACTTTATGAGAGACATATGTCAAGAGACACAAACATTCCTAGAAGAGATCCATTAGCAAGGAGACTTCAAAATATACTTTACTGATGTCAGCAACAGTATGACATTTTACTGTTAAGAGTCATTTTTTATTGACAGGGAGCACAGAGCCTCCTCTTACTGCCAAAGCCTCATCTCGGTGCCAGCAGCCACAGCCAGGCTGCATTGCCAGTTGCCACTTTTCCCTATCATCTGGCATCTCGCTTCACTTTGCTGCCAAAACCCTGCACCCAGTGCTAAGACCCGCAGTCACAGCTCACTGCCATCTGCCAGTTCCCACTGCCAGCCCCACACAGTGTTCATCTCACTGGGTGCCTCTGCAAAGGCAGGACTGCTCTCACGGAAGGCATGGCTGCTGCTCAGGCAGCACTCGGTACCTGTGCCAGCACTAACTGCAAACCCAGCTGAGCCAGAGCAGCCATGCAACCATGGGAGTAGCTGCTCTGCACAAGGGACACGCTGTCCCCACGCCACTGCTCAGTGAGTGATGCAATTCCAAGGTGGGCTGATGGGTTATGGACCACATGGATTAGAGTCACAGCCTTGACCAAAGGCAAGAAATGCCCCACAGCTGCTTCCCAGTCCTTAGCATCCTCTCCATAAAGACATCCTGGGGGGCTGCATCAAGGATCCAGGGTAGCATGGCCGATGTTAAAACCACCAGATTAAAAGGCAGCAATTCCCAAGTGACTGGGAACTGACAAGGACAGCATGCGGTTACCCTTGGGGAAATGGCTAAGCTGGGACAAGCTGTAACATAAGAGACAGTGAGTGGGATTCATGTGTAAACTCTGGACACCTACAATGTGGAAGTGATTCATCTCATTTTGAAGAGGACATCTGCACTTGGTCACATGAACTGCACCATTACATTTACTTATTTCTCCTCCTACATGATTCAGGAATAGTACTCTGCAATATCTAGCTCAGATGCCTTCTCGTTTGAAGAGGTAAATCTTACCCTGCATCTAGAGGTAGTGTACCCTCTGCTTAGAAGGCAAATTCTGGAGGCTACAGGTCTCTCCACCAGACTTTGAAATTAGTCTCTCACTTTTACTCATTTGCTTTTAAATTTCTGAACTTTCAGAACTTCAAAAAACAAGATTTCAAAAAGCCACACTTTACCTTCAAGGATCAATATACTCTATATGATAACATCAAATGATTTATTTAAACTGTCTAAAAATAATACTCTTTTTTTGATCTTTTGATAGAATTAATTAGAATTCATTCACTTGGCTTTCTACTTTGATCTGTAAATCAATTTCTGACCCTACCAGCAGCTTGTGAAATATTTATTAGCACAGGATTATTATCACAGCCTGATTATTGTCTAGATTATCCAGCAGTGTACATACCAGCATGTTATTGCTGAGAAACTTGGCTATGGTGTTTGTCTATATATTATGACAGTAATTTTCTGTGTCCCAGCCTCTGCCCTACTACAGGTTTCTGTTTACCCATGTGTTTTGGTTTGACAGTACTGTTCCACCTTCGGATGTCTCTTTGGCTTGCTCTACAGACATAATCTTGCCAAGCAAGATTACAAAATCTATATGATTAAATTGAATAATGGTATTATAATGAAGCAACCTTCGAAAGAGAAATTTAAATTATTCATGGATGTCATATTTATTTTTAAAAAGGAGTGTCTGATTTATGGTTATTTTTCTATGCCAGCAGGACTCCTTGCACATTAAATGTGGAATTAGATACAATTTAGGGGGAAGATATAACAGATGTCCACAAAAGCATATGTGTCATGGAAAAGATGGATAGGGACTGATACAAATACCTTCCCATAACTAGGACCCATCAAATTAAACTATGTTTGAAACAAATAGATCAAGGTGGTATTGATACAACAGGCTTAAGCCTGTGGAATTCCTTAACAGAAGACACTGTAGATGCCTGAAATTTACAAGTTCCAAGGGGAAAACAGAAAAAATACTCTGAGAAGAGGCATTTTGGAGGCTATTACACCACCACAAGCTCAGGAAATTCCTTGAACATAGCTGGAAGCTGGGACAGTGTTAGGGAAAAGGCATCCACACAGGTTGCTTTATTTTTATGCTTCCTTAGTTGTCCAGTTACAGCCACACTTGGATATAAAGTACGGGACTAGATGGACAAAAGATGGCTGCTCCTATATTCTTAAAGTTTGTAGATATTTATACCAAGTTTCCTCAGAAACAGTTACTAGAGGCTGGCATTATTTCCTCATGGGAAAACATGAAGAAGCACCTAGAGTCCGCATCTAGATAGCACACAAGTGTTAAGGGCGTAGGCAGGGGAATATAGGAGGAGAAATACCACAGGAAGCCTCTGAAAGCAAAAAACAAGCAGCTTGTTTTGCATTAAGTAACTGGACGAGCAGAAGAGAGAGGATTCAAAAAGGAATGACAAAGTGAGGATTAGGAAAATGGTCTGTCAGCAACATTCTCAATGAGCAGGACAAGATTGTTAACAGCAAAGCATGGTGAAATTATTACAATGTTGAAAGCCTGAGCACAAGTTTTGTAAAAGATTAGCTGTACTACCTCAGGCTATCAGTCCATCTTGTTCAATACCATCCCTCTAGGAGCAGCAATAACAAGTGCATAAGGAGTTTCAGTTGGTTGTTGTTAGAATGGAAAGCCTGTATGTTAGGGGCTGACAAAATACATACATAGGCCAAATACAGCAATGACAAGAGAATTTGGTGCATCCATCCCTCACTGCAGGTAGGAAGGACCGTTGTGCAGGAGCTGCAAAAGGATTTGTTGGTGTTTGCCAGGAGGCTTCAGGCCTGAACTAGCAACCCCTCTCCCCATGTGTGAGAACAACGCGGGCTGTACTCCATCCCCAAGTTCACCTCACGAGGTTCCTCACTGCCCAGAGAAGTTGAGGATGCCCCATCCCTGGAAGAGTTCAAGACCAGGCTGGACAGGGCTTTGAGCAACCTGGTCCAATGGGAGGTGTCCCTGCCCATGGCAGGGGGTGAGAACTAGGTGATCTTTAAGGTCCCTTCTGACCTAAGCCATTCTATGATTCTACAATTCTATGATCCTTCATCAGGGCTGTCACCATCAAGACATCCCTCTTGCTTTGCTCATTACGTCCCTGCCTGGATGGAAGGACACCCTCCAAGAAGTACTCCTTAAAGCCTGCACCCAATATTTCAACTTGAATAACAAGCAGGACCACCATATTGTTCACAGTGACTGAGGAAAGGGAAAATTCAAGGCAAAGATGAAAATCTCTGCCTTACTCATGCTGCATTGCAGATGACAACTGCAAATCTTTGAGAGAAATGTCAGCAATATGGGTTTAAGCATATCTCTGGTTTTCATCTAAGTACTGCTAAATATAAAATCCATAAACAACTTGAGAAGGAGGAACTGTGACCTGGAACTTTTGTCTGAATGCCATAGCTGCTGGCTACGATGCAGCACGCATGTCCTTTTTTGATGCTGTGTGGTCCAGCTTTTGCCCATAGGGTGATAATATATGATTTGTCCCCAGCCGGTTCCAGAGATGGACAGCAAGGTCTGGTCACTTCTGTGAAGATACAGGCCTGCACCCCATGAGGCTGAGGCAAGCTGAAAGCTGTCCCCCGCATTCCTGACAAGCTCTCTACCCCCGAGGCTGTTTCACCAGGCGTGACTAACCCCCCCACGAGCTCTCAAAAGCAAGCAGCTGGAAGGGTTTCTAATGAGAGCACCCACGTCCTGACGTGCCCTCAGGTCCAAGCCCTTCGGGGCACAGCCTGCTTGGGTGCGGGTCTCCCTTTACCTCACCACCCCCCGTCTCACAAGCCAGGGGGCTGCGGGCGGCGCCGCCCGCCCCGACCTCCCCCGTGCGCGCTGCGGGGCGGGCCTGGGGGAAGGATTGGGGACTGCGGGTCTGCGGGTCCCCTC